CGGATCCGTTATTAAGGCGCACCTCGGGATTTCCAAGCCAACGAACATGCCATTGGATTTGATTTGGAACAAGGTTCTTGAAAAATTTAAACGAAGTTGAGAATGACCAATAAGGAAAGATTTCTTCCTTTTCTCGGAAAAGTGAGATAGGATAACAATCTTTGGATACACCTATGATTTTCAAGATCAAACCAAAATCTTTAAGATGAGAGACCAATCAAATTTAGAGTAAACCTATTGGAGCTCTAAAAGTGCCATTTTTGTTTTGTTTGAACCTATTGAGTGATACGAAGGTCTCACCTAGAATCATATTGGAGAATCTTTAAAACATACACACTTGATTGATAATGTGGGCTACCAAAGGATCCATAGTCCTTTTGGTGTATAGAAAGACCACAAAACCAAGAAATGCTAAGAGAAAGATGCAAGGAATTTGATTACCCGCTTCTTTTGGCAAGCTAGAAAAATATCGTTCTGAGAATGCAAAAGGAAGCGCATTGGAATTTCCTCTAAGGACATCTTTAATTTGGAGAATGTCAACTCCTAAGAATTGGCTCAAAAGAGTTATAGGATCTATATCTATCGGAGGACTAACTAGATCAAAAGAACCGACTCTTCCAATGGCAATATCATACTCCTCAATTGTAGTGGTCAATTCATTTCGACCAAACACAAAAGTGAATGTCTTTGAGTTCCAAAAATGAGACAATGCCTTAATCATGGCGACACGAGGCTCGATGTATAAAAGAGCGGGAAGGTATCCAATCCTCTTTTCCTCGTAGTCCTTGTGCTTTGACTCAAGGCTTTCCCACATGACCACGAGAGCTCTAGGTATGGGGATGACTCGAATCTCTAACATATCCATTTTGACTAACTCTAATTTGGAGCATCAAGATTAATCACCACTCGTTATAGAAAGAAATATAACATGAAATTGAAATGATGTAAGTGAAATTACAGTAAAAATATTAAAACGATACAATCAACCTTACCGCAAATAGAATGGCAAACACATCGACACATTGCATGATGACGTGAGGTTTGATGCCTAAGGGTAAAATTCTAAAAGTTTAAGGTCCTCACCTTGATTAGATAAGAAGAGTTTACCCACCGCTACTAACGTCAGTCGGTGCACTTCTTACTAACCAAGATAAGTGATATTGAAGAATGGATTACCACATGGATTCACATGCAGATTCCACTCTTAATATCTCCTAAAGGTATCCTAAAAACGATCCGAGGTTTTAGACCGTGGGACGTGGGTGCACTGTGTCGTGCTAATGCGGGTAAACATACGTTTGAATTTAAAGCAAACAACACTTCAATATAACCCAACATACACACATACATCCTTTCATCACCTACAAAACAAAGGGTTGACACACACGCCTCCGCTTATAACTCCCACCTGCAAAAACATTTAACACTTGATTAGTGACTTACCTCATTTTTTACACGACTTTGACATGCAGTCGATGCTACAAATGTAAGTAAGTGAGATAACAACCAACGAGTTTATTACGGCTTTAATCCACTTAGGTTTGTAACCTAGTTCCCAGCGGAGTCGCCAAGCCTGTCAGACTCGTTCCAAACCTAGAAAATTTTTTAATCTCTCCCATTCTTTTCACGAAGAGACATTAACTTGCCTCTAAGGCTCCGTTCGTTTGGCGGAAAATATTCTCCTTTTAGAAAATATTTTCCCGGAAGTCATTTTCCTGGAAAATGTTTTCCCGGAACATAATTTTCCTATGTTCGTCGACCAATATGAAAAAGTTTCGGAAAATATTTTTCGCCGGCGACCGGCGGCGGCCGCCAGCCGGCGGATCGGCGGCCGGGCCGGCGACCGGCGATCGGCGACCGGCGGCCGGCCGGCGATCGGCGACCGGCGGCTGCTGCGGGCGGCCGGCCGGCGCCCGACGGCGGGCGCCGCGGCGCCAACGGCTGTGACCGGCAATCAACTTCTCTCTCGCGGAAAACATTTTCCCTCCCATGGGCAATTTTGCCTTCAATTTGGGGAAAATGATTTCCTTTTTGTGAAAAGAGGAAATCATTTTCCTCAAAACAATGAAGGATTTGGGGGTGGGGAAGGAAAATGTTTTCCCACGGAAAACATTTTCCGCCCCCGAACACCGGAAAACGCAGAAAATGTTTTCCGGAAAAATATTTTTCCGCAAACGAAAACAGCCTAAGGCCATTCTTGACCCACGTTAGAAAACGGCCATGGTAGATGAATTTAATGTCTTGATCACTAATCACGTGAGATCTTGTACCACCCAATCTTTCTAAGAATTTAGTTGGTTGTAAAAAAGGGTTTTTAAGGTGAGGAATAGTCTGATGGAACTATCGAACGCTTTAAAGCTCACCTCATTGCATAAGGATTTAAGTAACCAGTATTGTTCTCTCTATTTTAGGATAGGCTATACGTCAACTTGATATTAAGAATGTCTTCTAGTATGGCATCCTTTGTGAGGAAGTTTAAATGCATCAACCTCCTAATTTCTCTCATACTGAGTTATTGAATCACGTGTGCATCTCCGAAAAGCCTTTTATGATTTAAAGCAAGCTCCATGTGCATGGTTTCTTCACTTCGATATGTTTTTATTATCTTTGGGTTGCATGGCAAGTAAGGCCAATCCATCGTTATTTGCCTATGCTTCTTCCTAGGGTTGCCCGCATCTTTTGTTGTACGTTGATGATATCCTTGTGATCGGTGATACTCCTCATATATTATGGTCTTTGATTACTGGACTCTTATAGGAATTTCCTACGAAGGATCTTGGACCACTTCGCTATTTCCTTGGCATTGAGGCTCTCACAGCATCGACGGTATGTTTTTATCTCAATCTAAATATGTTTATGGCCTTTTACGCAAGTTTGACCTCGTTAAGGTCAAGCATGTATCTACTCCCTTAGCCTCGAAGACTCTGTTGTCTGCTAACGATGGTGAGCTTTTCGCTTCTCCAACGTTGTATCGACAGAAGGTTGATGCTCTATAGTATGTGACTAGACTTGAAATTAGTTTTGTGTTGAACTTGGTTAGACAATTCGTACATCAACCCATATTACCTCATATATAGGTCATTAAGCATATATGCCATTATTGAGCTGGCACATCTACTCACAGATTGCTCATTGAGTGGTGTTCTCCCACTTCATTGACTGCTTATGCAGCTGCAGAGTGGGCTGGGTGTTTCGATACTTGACATTCCATATCGGGTTTTTGTGTTTTTCTAGGCGCTAATCATATTTCATGGAGTGCCCAGAAGCAACCCACTATAGCTTATTTTAGAATACGGATTGAATATCACGCTATTGCTCATTGTGTTGCCGAGACGATTTGGATCCGTCATTTAGGCTCCGTTAGTTTGGCGGACAATGTTTTCCAGGAAAATATTTTCCGGATTTTCCAGTGTTCGAGGGGCGGAAAATAACTTCCCACGGAAAACATTTTCCCTCCCATGGCCCAAAGTGAAGGCAAAATTGCCCATGGGAGGGAAAATGTTTTCCGTGGGAGACGAAGTTGATCGCCGGTCACCGCCGTCGGCCGCCAGTCGCCGCCGCCGGTCGCCGCCGCCGGTCGCCGTCGCTGATCGCCGCCACTAGTCGTCGGTCGCCGGTCATCGTTGATCGTCGGCCCGTCGCCGGCCGCCGCCAGTCGTCGCCGCCGATCATTGGTCGCCGGTCACCGTCAATCGTCGGCCACCGCCAGTCGTCGGCCGTTGGCCACCGGTCACCACCGCCGCCCGCCGCTGGTCGGTGATCGCCGCCACCGGTCGTCGGCCGCCGCCGGCCATCGGTCTGTCGGTCACCGCTAATTCCGCCGCCCGCCATGCAGCCAACCGCCGCCGGTTGCGAGATCGCCGCCCGCCGCCCATCACCGCCCGCCACCGCCGACCGCCGCCCGATCATTGGTTGCCGGTCACCGTCAATCGTCGGCCACCGCCGATCGTCGGGCCGTTGGCCACCGGTCACCACCGCCGCCCGCCGCTGGTCAGTGATCGCCGCCACCGGTCGTCAGCCGCCGCCGGCCATCGGTCGTCGGTCACCGCCAATTGCCGCCCGCCACAGCCAACCGCTGCCGGTTGCAGATCGCCGCCCGCCGCCCATCACCGCCCGCCACCGCCGACCGCCGCCGGTTGCTGATCGCCTCCGCCGGTCGCCGGACGCCGCCGAATCGGCGGTCGCAGAACACCAGAAAATATTTTCCGAAACTTTTTCAGATTTTAGCCGAACACCAGAAAATTGTGTTACAGGAAAATATTTTTCAGAAAAATGACTTCCAGGAAAACATTTTCCAAAAAGAGAATATTTTTCGCCAAACGAACGGAGCCTTAGTTTGTGAGCTCGAAGCTCCCCTTTTTTATCCTCTCACCGTTTATTGTGACAACATCTCTATCTCATAGCTTGCTCTCAACCTTGTATTTCTTACTTACACCAAAGACATTGAAATGGATTTTCACTTTCTTCGAGAGCAGTTTGCTTCCGATAATCTACGTGTTCGCTATGTACCTATAGCGGATCAAATGGCAAACATCTTCACCAAGGGACAACCTAATTCGCGTGATGCGCTATTGAGATCCAATCTCTCGATCGTTACACCTACTTCGAATTGAGTATCAATGCGTGGGGTCTTTCTGTAATTATGTTTATATCTGTATCCTTACTGTAATTAGTCACTCTTATAAATACATATCGTACAACTCTAATTGGGGTTTAGCCACCACAACACTTTGTCACTATTTTCTTTTTTACTCTAAACATCGACACTATTATTTGATGAGTTGTTCTTTACCTCTAAAAACACATACAAGTTCTTTTAAAGGGTTGGAAGGGGATGGTTTGATGATCCCAGAGGGCGCTACGACATGTTCGATTTGAGCCATGGGCATCGCTCATTTTGGACGAGCCAAACACCCCACCATGGTCCCTGTAGGAGTAGTGCCGGAGCGAACCTACGTCGTTCTGCAAACAAACCAAGACTTTTCGAGATCGAGGAACAATTGGAGAATTAGAGCCTTCGATTAGGGGATACCGAACCATTCGGGATTAAATCGTACATCAATAGGTCAACTACTGTGGTGTTAACACGGCAAATGAAAAGCTACTCGACTACACAAATTTCCAATTGCATTGATTGACAAGGAGTGTGAAGACCGTTCTTCGTTTTCCCAATCCCCACTTGCTCCACCACCAACAAATTTACAAACGACTTAGGCACCCAATCTATCTATTTCATCAGAGTCCCTATCGGCTATCACCAAACCCAAAAAAAATAATATCCGAAATACAGAAAATAAAAATTAAAAAGAAGACAGAGAAATTTAAACCTTCTTAAGGTTGATGAGTCTCTTTCTCCTAAACCAACGACCGACCGATCAAATCAAGTCCCTAAAACTTCGCACTTTGGTGTGCTCGAGGTGCAATGAGCTTACGGTACACCCCGGCCCCGCATCGCTTTCCGACCGCACGATCAGTTGCAGACCTTGCTAGTCTTCATCAACGGCTGACGGAACTCCATCCCCGCGGGCCCCACTTTCTCCTCGCGGGCCCTCTTCCTCTCCTTCTTCCCCTCCCCGTTCAGCCACACGCCGAACAACTTCATGCTCCTCTCGCCGTCTGCTCCTCCTGCTTTGTCGTCGTCGTCATCGCGATCAACGCCGCCTGTGCGGTCCCCGGCGGCGGCAGCTAAGGCCGCCGTCCCGGGGCCTCCTCGCCGCACGATGCGATCAATCTGGTCGGGGCCCACCTTCAGGCACTCCGTCAGGAACGCCACCAGCTCGTCGCAGTGCTTCTTCGCCTGCGCCAGCTCCGAGCTCAGGGCCTCGTTGTCCCTCCTCAGCCTCTCGTTCTCGTCCGTCAGGCCCGCGAACTGGGCGGCCGTCGTGGCCGCCGCCGTCTCCACCGAACCCGCGTTCTTCGATTCCGCCGGGGACGACGTGGACGTGGACCCCATGTCCTCGCCCGAGCTCTCCGGCGAGGCCTGGCCTCCCGCCGCGGCGCCGGCCGATTTCCCGGCGCCGGAGGCCGGGGGATTCGGAGGCGGTGTCACCGTCTTGCGGCGGCGGATCTCGGAGAGGAGCTCTTTCTGGCCCCGCACGAAGTGCTCGTTGGCGAATTCCCATTTGTCCGGCACGATCTTTCTGAAGCCCTGCGAAGAGGCTTACGATCAAAATCAAACATCGTCCATTTTCGCATAACAAAAATAGAATCTTTATATTATCATCTGCATATTTATACCATCTTTACACCATTCTATTAGGGGAAAATTTCGAGGGTTTGATCTCTGGCTTAATTTCCATAAAAAAAAAAAAAACATGTGGCTTTAGATAGGAGTGTGCAAACAGGACCGCCTGAACCGAGAACCGCCCGAACAGGACCGGACCAGCCGATTCGGTCCGATTCCCGGGAGTGTCAGTTCGGTTCCTGATTCCAAAAAGTGAAACTGGTGTCCAGGTGATCTGGTTCTCGGTTCCAAGGTGGGAACTAGATCGTCCGAATCGGACCAATCAATATATATATAGGCGTGAGCTACATTCTTGTTTTAGATGTTTTGGCTTTTGCTGTTTAGACATTAAAATGACGTCAGAATACATTTTCATCCCTTTTGAGCATGCTAATATTATATATGATTGGGGAATCTCACCTTGTTTGGTTGAGGAATTTCTACATTGATCGGTTCCCGGTTCCAAGACCGGCCGGTCCGGTTCCCGATCCTAGAAATTGGGAACCAGTCCTCCTGGTCCGATTCTTTGTTCCACCTAGAACCGGATCAGATCGGGAACCGATCACCCCTAGCTTTAGGTGCATTGGTTCTAGTTCTTTTGTATCCACTCAATGCATTCAAGACTAAAAGTGAACGGTTCCATGATCGGTCCAAATTCCATTTGAAATCTACTCATCGAAACCGGTTCTTAAATTTTTGGGATCTGAAACCTATCCTACATACTCTAAAACCTAAAACCTACCCTGTTAGAGATTTCAAGATTGGTTCAGGATCTACTTAGGTTCCATCCGTATTCTTAATTGAACGATTGCAGTGAATTATCACCTCTAATAACTATTATTTACTGCCAAAATCCACTGACCACAACTCAATTTGAACACACGATGAATATATAACATTAACAAAGTAAAAGTTATAATCATGGATATTGCCAGACATGGAAGCTTACACTTGTAGTTCTAGATTACACACTCACTGTCGAACGTCATGGGACATGGCAAGACTATGCGAAAACATAGAACAAGAAAAACACAAAGACCTATTTTAGGTTCTACATGTGGAACCTAAAATCTACTTATCGAAATTGGTTCCCCAATTTTTGGAACTGGAACCTAAAACCGAACTGGTTACCACCGGTCTGATTCTCCGGTTCTCGATTCTATCCTGAAATCATGCTCACCCCTATTCAAGACTATTTAATTTGGTCTACATTTTGGTTTATATACTGAAAAAATAACTCGAGTCTTCCACCAAAATCTTTAAGTTGTTTTCGAAATTCATAGAAACTATATATGATTCTATGTGTGATTATTTATAAATTTCAAAAAATATTTTCGCATTAAATAGTTGTGAAATATACACAATTTCAAAAAGTAAAATATAAAATATGAATTTACTCTGAAAGACCGGCCATTATATAATTTTTGGTGACCATAATAAAAGTTCCAAATTATAAATGTATCAAAGAGAGTACTTTCCGAAGGATCAACTGATCCTCTTACTTAATTCACCACCTTGTGGAAGCTAATTTTTCTCCGCAATTTTTTTGGTAACAATTTTTCTTCTAATTTTTATCGCGTGCTATCAAGTTTTATTTATTTTTATATTTTAAAAATATTCTCAAAATTTTTATTGAAATCATTTCCTTGATCGTTTTCGGAAGAGAACTTTCACTAAAAAAGCAATCTTCCAACAAGTAAAAGGGGTTTATCCAAAATACAATACTTTCATTAGAAAAGAAATTTTCCACATATGAAAATAGAATCAATTAATATGAAACTAAACGATAAAAAAATTTAATAAATTAAGACCGACGAATTTCCCAGAAAGAGACGAGGCTACACACGTTTAAATCTTTTGTAGATGGACCTTCGCATGGTCAACGACAAAATCTACTTTTCGAAGATCATGGCCGTCAAATTGGACCACGGACGGCCAAATTGGAAATTAAGGGCACTCGTTTGGGTGCTGCGGGAATAATCAAACACCCAAAAGACCTAGAAAGAGAATTCACCGTTTCAATCACTACATCTATAGTCAAAGATAGACAAGGCCAACATATATAGATACATACATAGTCAAAGATATACTTATATATATATGTATGTCTATATGTTTACTCATGTTTACCCATTGGATAATTCTTAGAAACACTGCTCCTAGACACAAATTTGTTTGGAAAATTAGATAATCGGTCCTAGCCCCTATTGTATGGATATCTATGCAGTCTTAAAATTTTCAATTTTACTAAGATTCGCCAAAAATTGCTAACATAGCGGTCTAGTTATCGCTAGCCGTCTTACGCGGCACGTCGCCACATCGGCGGTTTCCGAAGAAAATTAGCTGGAAGGATTATATTGAAATTTTTTCGCATAAAAGTGTAAGATTAAATTGACAAAATTGAAAAGTTTATAATTGAATTAGAATTTGTATAATAGGTTTAGGAGTAATCAGACAATTTCCATCGAATTTGTCCAGATGTGCCCTCATCACTATTGATGCGCGGGTTGTAATCGCTCACTGCTTAGCCAACCAACAACAAATTTTTGTCTAGGGTTTATATCTTGATTTGTCGACTCAGGTTGCTAAAGGAAATTAATGCGAGGGCAATGTCCCGGCTTCTAATGTTAAATACGTAACTTTTAAGTTTCATCGACATTGTCACCTACTTTTCAGGCTATGGTCGACTGATGATACCGAGACTTCTGCACATTTTTCATCGAATTAATCCCGACATATTTACACAAGATTTTGAATTTCATATGCATCTAAACGAGATTTGGAAATATCGTGACAAGGACACCATTAGCTAGGTTTGAACTTTTGGAAATAGAGCTAGCTAGTCAATATGCATTCATTCACACAATTCTCTTTTGAATATCATGGAAAAATTCCAAATTATTTGTCATTTTTCTGTCGATAAGTCAATCGATATTAACTAAAAAACTGACAAACTCGACTAAGGTTCGCACGTGTTACCCGCCGTAGTCAATTATGTACAGCCAAAGGACAGCTCCGATCCTTGACCGCATTCGATTAAATGGGCATGCAACAGGAAGGGCAAAATCGTCTATTCATTACCCCCTAAGGGGAGCGCCTCCAAGTTAGGCAGATCTTGAAATTGACCCCTGGACTCGAGGACCAATTTGCAAATTTATTAAAGATTTCGCCCACAAGACCTCATCTAAAAATTCCTAAAAAAAACACCAAGTAATTTCATAATAATCCTAATTAGCAGAATAAGAATATATGATCATTGCTATATTAAATTATGTTCCTCGCAAATAATTGGATATTTTTTTAATTTGTTTTTTACAATTATGTGTTTCAAATACTCATTTAAGATAATTTTATGAGACTTTTTATGCTAATTTTCTCTATTATTTCACCACACCTAACTTACCCTTATTTTTTTATTTCCCAAGTGAGCTCCGTAATCAAATAATTACATATACCAATTACAACATATCGTGAAAAAAACACGAATAAACTATTTCTTTTTTCTTTTTTTCCCGATCGCGCCGCAGAAAAATCAGGAAATCACATGCAGGCCACCATAAAAAGGACATAATAAATGATTGGAAAATAGGGAAATTAAGAGAAAGAGAAATTAGGTGTGAGCTTACGTAGGTGTTGAGCTGGCGAACGAAGCTGGAGAAGTTGTTGTGCTTGAAATAGCTGGGGAGCAAGTCCTTGGCGAACTCGGCCGTCTTCCACACCACGAACGTCCGGCCGTGCTCGCCCCACGAGATGACGTCGTCGGTGGCCGGATCGTCCACCAGCCGGTACGTCTTCGTCAAGAACGGTGCCGGAGCTGAGCGCTGCGCCATTGCTTTACTTGTGTTCACGTTTTACCCCTCCCCGACAGCAGCAACTACAGTTTCAGAGGGGAGAAGAGAAGAAGAAGGGGGGACTGATGAGAGAGGGTTTTGGGTGGTGGGTGATCAGATGGAGCAACTAAAGAGCAAGAGAGCGGTGAGGAACTCCCAGCCCCAGCAGTAGAACCCAGAGATGTGAACCAGGCTGTGGCAAGCTCTCTTCCTTCTTGTATCAGCTGCTTCCATGACTGAACATAACTCCCCTCATCAATGGAAACCCAGGAGGGCAAAACGAGGAAAAACGAAAGGAAAGAGAAGGGAAGGGAAGAGAAGAGAATTCTTTCTTTTTCTTGAGATGGGGGGTCTTTGGAAACTTATAGAGGAGGAGGAGGCTTCTTCTTGATGATGATGATGATGGGTTGGTTTGGGTTTTTTAGTTCTAGAAGTGTTGAGAAGCAGAAAATATTTTAAAGTATTCCGCCACTTTGGTCATCTTTCAAAGGGGAGAGAAAGAGAGAGAGAGAAAGACAACACGCATTTTCTTGCTTTCCTCAAGAAAATGATGAGAGAGAGAGAGGGAGGAAGGAAGGAAGGAGGGAATTTTCTAGGGAAGGGTTTTCTTGGTCGTTTCTTGGGAGGAAGCTTCTCATGCAATGTCCATACATTACATTTTTTTTTCGTTTTTAATAATCGCGAGGAGGACCCGCACCATCCTTATTGTGCCGATCGCGACGGGCGAGTTACTTGCGGGGAGCAATAATCCTCCGCCCCCGATCACTGCACCGGTTAAGTCCGAAGTGAGTACGTAAGGATGGATCCAGACTCAGCACCCGAAGATGGGATCAAACTTGCACCGTTGTCTCGCTAGAGTCAAACCGCCCACGTTTGGACTTATTCTATCAAGCCGGTTCAATTCAAGCACTTAGAAATGATCCGAAAGTCTTTTTAACGAGTGTCTCAAGAAAATTACCGAGTATGTATCGTAAACAATGTTTCGATTTTTCACGAGGGCATAAAAATTTTACGTTTCTTCCATTTTTATTTTAATATAAATAATGATTAAATTACGATTAGATGCGTGCTCTTTGAAGAGAGTGCCACCTTCACATGGATGGGTTTGGTTTCTTCCACGGGGGGAAGAAGAATGGGGAAGAGAGCGGGGGTGAGTAGACATCTCTTTTTCCCCCACCTAACACCTTTCCATTTTCAATTGCTTCTTCACATCGTCACTATGAGATTTTTTGTTTTTCATATATATTCAAGAGGGTCCTGATCTTTCTTCCTCTTATTGGTGGTGTGTTGCTCCCTCACCTTGTCGTCCTTTCGTTTTTCCTTCTCTTTCAGGTGCTTTTGTTAAACCATCGATTTGGGGGAGAATTACCAAAAACAGTCCTGAATTTATTGTGCTTATATTAATTGATTCCTAAATTTTTTAATTGTGCCAATTGAATCATAAACATTTTTTTTACGTTTTGCCAATTAAGTCCATCCGGTTAATTTTAATCAGAAATCACTTACATGGATGACAGCCGTCCTACATGGCACAGCCGAACGGCCGACACTAACGTGAACCATTTTCTAATAATATTCTAAAATTTTTTGAAATTTTTTATTTTTCTTTTATTTTATTTTTTTTTGCAACTTAGGGCTAGCGAGGGTCGCGGGCCAACCCTTGCCAGCTGGGTGAGGCAGTCGAGGGTCCTTGCTTTGGTCGGCGATGGAGTCGCGGCTCTTGCCTAGGCCCTCGTCACAAACGACGAGGGGCCGCTCATCGATCAGAGCGAGGGTGTGCGACCCCTCGCCCAGATCTAGCTAGGGCATCCCGACCTTCACTTGTGGCCAGCAAGGGTCGGCTAGTGTCGTCGGCTCTAAGTTAAAAAAGAAACACAAGAAAAGAAAAGAAAAAAGAAAAAAATTTAAAAAATTATCCAAAAAATTCGAAAAATTATTAAAAGTTTATTTAAAATGCTCACGTCAGCGTCGGTCGCACCATATAGGACGGTTGGCGTCCACATCAGTAATTGCTAGCCAAAATTGTCCGGATGGACATAATTGGCAAAACGTGGACTGAATTGACATAATTAAAATGTTTATGATTAAATTTACAAAAATACAATAAATTTATGATCTTTTTAATAATTTTTCCTAGATTCGAGATCTCTAAGGATTGCCAATCCTTAACGAGGATTCATATGTCCGAGTACTGGTCACCCACACAAAAATCAGGGACAGATCGTCCCGATCAGGAATCGTAGGGTTAGTGGGGTATCTGCATGATTTGATTTGAAGAAGCTTAGCACAGCTAAATAAGGATATATTTTCACGTGTGAGAGAAAATATTATGTACGGCCTGGAGGAGGTACTTTGGAACTCCAGGAATAGTCCCAATCATCAATTTCGAAAAAGACTCTGTTGGTGTCCACCTAGATTACACTGAAAATACAAAATAGAGATTCTCTTATAGATTCATGGTTCTTTGCTATAGAGATATTCACGATTTAACAGACCTTGACTCGATACCTCGTTCGAAAGTTGGATCGAACAACATTGCAGGATAGTGTTTGTCGAGGGTTTTCCGGTGAAACCTAATTTGTTGAAATCCAAGGGCACGATTTGAAAATACCCCGCTTTCAGTTCCCACCCTAATTGTGATTTTTCTCGATCATATGACACATTTCCGGAGACTTAATCACGAGCTTTTTCGATGCTTTGAGAATCGCACCGATCGGATTTCCAATCAAGATATCACGACTTTCCACCACAATCTTATATTTATCCCGTTTCACATAAACCTAATATCTCGATACTTCCTCACTGATCAGGTTGCAAATTTTGGAAAATTCAGCTCTCAAGCTTTTTCACTTAGTGCAAAGATCGGGTCAGTTGGACGTCAGAAGAAAAATTATGTACGGCCAAAATTTGATCAGTTTTTTTCAAAACATAGGCCGTCGCTAGTGTGTGGTCGGGCAATCGACGACTCCCGCGTCGGAATCGCAGCTGAGGGACCGGCGCAAAGACGACGCTCCAGTCGACCCCGGCCCCCTTGCGCCATGACCGGTGCAGTGTTGGCCCAACTGCAACCAGCACGAGCCTAACCCCTTGAAGCGGGCATGGTCTCTCTTTTTGTGGCCTTTTGAGGCATTTTCCCATCATTTTTAAAAAGCATTTTAGGCATGATTTGAATATTATGAGTGCAATTTGAAACATTACCTTTTGGGTACTAAAAATTTGTCCATTCATAGGGGATCGCCAATCCATTCTGCAGACAGCGATAAGTGAATTTTGAAATGGACTGAACTTAAAAACCAAGAAAAGGGGGCAGATAGGTTATGATAGGAATCTCTAAAACTTTTTCGTACTTAAACGTACAACATTCTTTACGGGATGAAATCGTGTTTGCCGATAAAGTCTGCGATGCAGAGCAATATCTTCTCTTGACAGAAATATAAAGAGATTAGAGAATAGAAGTTATGGGTGTGTAAAACGGACCACTCGAATGGGAAATCGTCCGGATTGGACCGAACCGACCAATTGGATCCGGTTTCCGAAAGTGTTGGTTTGGTTGCCGATTCCTAAAAATGGAACCAGTTTCCGGGCGGTCCAGTTTCTGGTTCCAAGGAAGAACCGGACCGACCGGACCGGACCGGATTGCCTACATAAACTTTTTTATTTTATTTTTTATTTCTTCCAAAAAGTTAATATAAGAGACTAAAGGATACAAGTGATTGCAAAGCAAATTTATGGTGGTTCGCCCTTTTCACTCGGTTTATTCCGCTCTCCAAATTCTAACTGCCTAAGGACAAGGCTGCAATCCAATAGTATAACGGTTGGAGTCTTGACAACGTCTACGGATGAAGTTGTCTCTCCATAATGCACAATGACATGCTTAGACAAATATGACTCATTCACTCAATGCACAAGCCCACATACAATGGTTGCACCACTCTTTCAAAGAATTACAATCATATCTCACTCATTGTTTTCAGAAAAATAAGCAAGAATCAACTCGCCCAACCTTCAACAGACATTTTGGTATATATCCTTCCAAACTTGATTTCCACGTTCGAGTCTTTAACTAGGTTAAAATAGCCATTGCAAGGTCTTTAATTAGCTCAGAATGTTCATCTAGAGCTGATTAATGAATTTTCCTCGAAATAAATGAAATTAGTTATGTAGCTCGCCTGAAATGATTTGAATATGGCAAGTCTCATATTGAAATCACATTGTCTCTTAGATTAATAAAGAAGTTGTCGGTAATTTCATTATGCATCCTCGTTACCCAAAAAGATAAATGAGAATTTTGAAAGCGGCGTTCATCATTCGGTGTATGGATGATTAACGGATGCATGTGGATGGAGTGGCTTACATGCATTAGTCAGAATTAGTGATTTGAAGGTTTAGACACCGCCATTACATATATGATTTTCTTAATATTATACTCCTATTTTTGAAGGGGAGGACATATATAAAATGGCATAATCAGAGTGAAAAACAATCACTTATGGTGTGAACATGGTTCTCATTAGCATCTCACTTAAGTTCTTCCTTTATTGGCCAGAGAAAGTCCAACTTTGGTTCAACCAATGTGTTTAGCTACTCTACATTTTAATGCATTACCTTCTCTATGAAAGCTCAGATGTAGAAACATCCTAACTGGGTCACCTTGCTCTACACCCAAAATCACAAATGATAAAGAAGTCGATACAAAGTTATTGTTCTCGAGGGCTTAACTAATAGTAGTCTCATTTGAAATGTTTCTAGCATTTTAGGATTGGTCTGTCAAATGAACGTAGCATGGCCGATCGAATTAATAAAACATTGAAGACTTCAACTATATTAAGAGTGGAGAACAAGTTAGTATTGGAGAAGTTTTTGAAGGTGATGTGGACTAGGTCTATTTTTAAGTGTGTCAATCTTTTGTTGTCTCGCCGTGTTTGGACTTTGTCATTTTAAGGGGCTTAAAGTCATGTGACAGTTACCAACTCCCTCGTGGAATCTTGTCAATTCTGATTTAGCCTACATTGAATGACCCAGCGAAACAAAATGACACAAGCTATTTGGGGTATTATGTTTCTTGCTTCCTGTTCAAGCCGGCCGTATGTTGTTGTTAGTTAAATTTGCAAACCAATTCAAATTGAGACACCGTTCGCCTACCACTTCTAAGTTAGTACGATAGAGGACCCAATGAAAAGATTACATCAAAAGTCCTGGAAGTTCGGCTCAGAGTGCAATCAAATCCTTAATGTTTGGAAAAAATGTAATCGAGTTACTAAGGCTGCGCATGGTAACCATTCTGTGCCCGGGAACAGATTCTGGTAAGAAATGATTTTTTTTTATTCTGTGCCCGGGAACAATTTCTAAACATTTGAAGACGTTTGGTAACTGCCCAAAATTTCTATTCTTAGAATAGAAAAAGAACAGAAATGCGTTTGATAACTACACAAAATTTCTTTTTATTAATAATATTTTGAATTTTAAATATTTTTTTCTTTTTTTTTACTTTTTTTTTCCTTGGCCATGGCCGGTCGCCGGCGCCGGCGACCGGCAACAGGCAACAGGCAACAGGCTAGGGCCGGTGAGGGCATCACAGCCCT